ATACTTTTAATGAGTATTTAAAGTCGTATCCTACCCGTTCGGCTAACGACCCTCCACCGATCAAGGAAGCGGTGGGTGAGAGTGGACACCCATTAAGTCACCATTTTATAGGCAACAACCTTATACCCCCCTTATAGACCGGCTTCGTGAATGAGGCCTACTAACGGTAAGAACGACATATTCTTATACATATCTATATAATAAAATTATAATAATAGTATAAGGGTGTATTTTAAACATTTAAAATACATGGTGGTTTAATCTATTAATTAAATTATACTCTTAATTTAATTAAACTTAAACCATGTCTTTATGGAATTATTAACTCTTTTAATTAAACACTTTAATTAATTTAATGAAGTCCATAAAGTTTGAATTTTTTTTTAACCTTTAAAAAAAAGTTTGGAATTAAAGTGTAAGACTTTACAAATTCCAAAACTTGAGGGCAAGAATTGAAACTATTCCAAGTCTCTTCAATTTGTAACTTATGAGTTTTAATGGTTCATAAAAATGAAGACTCTTCATTTTATGAAACCTCTTTAGTTCTTTAAACACAAATTAAATAAGTGACCTTTGGTTATCCATAACTTGAGGACAAGTTATGGACACCATTATTGCCATTAAGATCATGAATTAAACACACATGGAGGTTACACATAATTCCTATGATCTTCTAAAAACTCATAAGAACACAAATTCATGCCAAGCAATTTTCAAGAAATCATATAAACATATACAATACTTGAAAATTAATAAAAGTCATGTAAAATGGGTTAACATAATCATTATCATTTTGAAAAAACAGATTTTACAAGTCCAAAACAGATTGGGATAATGATTTTAATCCATTTCCAGCAACAAAACACGAAAAGACTGCCCAACACGCACCTACTCGTCGAGTGCATTATCCTACTCGACGAGTAGGATGAATTTGTTCATGGACTCGGCGAGTCCTCCCCATGAACTCGGCGAGTCCAGTCGTCAATGAGCAGATTTTTCGTTTTTTAAGCAGTTTTGCATCAAGTATACAGAAAACAACCCTAGGCTCTGATACCACTGTTGGGTTTTGAGCATTCTAACACTTCCTAAGTGTACATGCAACCCTAATAACCTTGAATCTATGTTTTCTCTATATACATGCAAATTTCTTTTTCAAGGTTATTTCCTAACTAGCATGGCATGGGGATTACATAAAACATAAAGAACTAGTAGAAATACATACCTTGTTGTCGCTTGGATTCCTTCAAGACTTTGTGAGCCTAGCACCCCAAATGTTGTGCCTCAAATGCTTCACACAACACTACAACCTTGGAATAACTAGAGAGAATATTTCTACACTCCAAAATCGGCTATGCCCTCACAAGAATACTCTAGTGCCAATTTTGCATGCTATAGGGTTTCTTTTATAGTGTGTCATAATTAGGAGTTACAAATGTAAACCCTAATTGTCATGACTCTTCATTTCTCATGACCCATGGGTTTGTAACTCCCATGGACTATCCATGGAGCTCCATATGGTTATAACCAAACCCATAAACCATGGATCATTAATCCACCATAAAATAATTGATGATTGTCATAATCAACCCTATATATTTAATTAGTCTCACTTTGATCACCAAATTAATTCTAGATTAATACTTGATCAAATACTAATTAAATAATACTATTATTAATATATTAGAACTTATAATATATTAATAATCATAAGTGCCTTATTCTCTCATTTAGTCTATCCAAGTATTGCAATGCCATGCAACCCAAATGGACCATGCCGGGTCGGGTCAAGTTCATACCAAATAAAGTTATGGACTTAGACACTATATCCAACAAACATTGCCTAAAGACATGGTGGCTGAAAAAAGGCGGACATTCTAACGAAGGTACATAATGCCATTTTGTTGCACTTAATAGATGAAGTATTGAGGGAGGTCATGAATCAAAACAACTGCTTCTGGGATCTAGGATAAACTTTATAACAAGTACCAGAACAACTCACTGACAAACTAGTTGTATTAGAAGCAAAGGTTGTACACTCTTAGAATGTATGAAAGTACCCAAGTGAAATATCACCTGTCTAACTTCAATCGCATCATATTGGATCTACAAGGGGTTGATGTGAAGATTGAAGTTGAAGATCAGGTGATCATTCTCTTATGTTCTATTTCGAAATCATATGATAATTTTGTTGATAGCATGCTCTATGGTAGGAAAATGATGACTATGAATGATGTGAAGGAGTCTCTGATATCCAAGAAACCGAAAAGAAAAGTTTAATTTGGAGAGGAGGTGTCCAGTTTCGGCTTTTTCACAAGGAGAAAAAGGACAAAAGAAAGGAAAAAGGGAAAAAGAGGGAGATCACATTCAACATCAAAGTCAAAAGGATCATCGAACACAAAATATTATAACTGTAAAGAGAAAGACACGTTAACCGAAATTGTCTACAACTAAAGAATGGGAAGTTCAAGAGTGAATCAAGAAGAAATAACACTACTGTAGTGGTTCAGGAAAGTTCTAATGAAGGGGACGATGGTGATGTACTAACTTTTAGTACATCAAGTTCTTCTGATGCTTGGATCTTGGATTCTGGAGCAACCTATCACATAAAGTATAATCGATATTGTTTTAACTCATTAAAAGAGTGGTATGGCACAATCAAGACGAGTGATGATTGGGTAAGCAATATCAAAGGTGGCATGGTGAAGATCAAGATGTATAATGGCTTGGTCAGGAAGTTAGATTGCTGGTATGTTTTAGAACATTGGAAGATTTTAATTTCTCTTGGCACATTGGCTAAGAATAGGATGAGGTATGCTGGTGAATGTGACTGGGTCAAAGTGACTGAAGTTTCTCTTATTATAATGAAAGGGGAGATGAATCATGGATTGATCTATATCCTATAAGGTAGTTGATTATTGGAATAGTGGCTATCTATCACACCCCCGACCGAGGCGGCGGAACACGTTGGGCTTTACGACTAAGTTCATAGATCACAGGTAAACTGAATATATAGTACAAGTACAACAATAAACAAAATAACATTTGAGTTTCATCTTGATATTTGAATATAATGTTTCTATATATAATAATAATACATGAATTTTCCTTAACAGATATGCATATAATACAACAACAAGTAAAACAAGTCACCTGTAATCGAGTCCGTCTTGAATGTATGTTTAGTGATTTCCTGAGGATACATGTAGTTTTAAGGGCCAAAACAAGGTTGGTGAGCATTACAAGTTTTCTGCTAATAGTAGTAATACTTTTAAAAGCGTTTCAAAACTTATTGTCTTTATAAGTAAACCATATTTAAATAAGCTTTGAAAAATCATAAAGGTGTCTTGGTATAAGTAAATTCATGCTTAAAATGGTTTTGAACAAATTAAGTTTATAAGTTGTAGTAAGGGAGAGAGAGATATTAGAGTTAATGTGTATAGTGAGTCTTATAACTGAGCTAGGAGACATGGGTGCACCTGACTACAACACTTCATTGAACGTTGCAGTAAAAATTTTAGACACCTATCACCCGTTTCGGTTGATTAGTCGAGGTTGTAGCTAGCAACCGTAGGTGGGGATTTCAACCCCGTATAGATCTATACATTTGTATCTCTCTCCGAAGATTAACGGTTATAGTAGTGTGGGTATGCTAAGTGGTTAGAATTAGCTAATGAATAATGTAGTGTCTCACTAAAATGCCCTTAACTAAAAAGTTTCTGAATAACTCTCAGCGCTAAATTAATTGTCATTAAGTCACTAGGCATAATGAATATCATTGTATAAGGTTTACAATATTCGATTATGTTTGACATATATGTGAAAGTGTAATGTGCTCGTTTTTATAAAATTGAATGTTTCAAATTAATGAGCATATGTACATGTAAAAATTTTGTGTACTGAAACATATAAATAAACATGCTTAGTAATAGCTTGAACACTGAAATACTACAAAGCTTCATAACGTGCTTGTTATAATATGCAATGTCACATAAAAATCATATAATTTTGTAACATGTAGTATTTGTTGTGTGAACTGGTTATTTCGTGATAAAATAACCATAATACATATACAAAAAGTTTATACTAGTTTATTCATAACAATATGGTAAATTGTTAAATAATAATATTTTTATAAACTCGATTTATTGTATTTTCGCATAAAAAGGAAATTGATTTGTATAAACAAGATATTTAGGCACTTGTATCCCCCCGCCCCTCTCCCGAATTAACTAAAATATTAAAAGGGGGGCGTAAGCGCTCACCCTTGAAGCGAGAGTTCTATTTGCTTGAAATTGTTTTGTTTTAGAGGCTTGACGTGAGAAACCCTAAATTCATAATTCTTGAACTTTGAAATACTATGAGTCCATTTTATAATGAATTTAAACTTATGGGGGTTGATTTGGTAATTTAATTAACCAAAAATAGGATTATTTTTGTTAAAATATTTCAAGGGAGGGGCTGGAATTTTTATTTTTATCCCAAGTTTGCAGATTTCGATTTATTCTGTTAAAAATAATCAAAGGAGGGGTCTTTTCGAATAAATGGAATCAATATTTAGGAATAGGGACTGATTTTGAAATAATGTTTCCCCCCCCCCCCCCCCCCCTGCATCTTCGTCATTTGTTGATCGGGTAAGGAATGAAAGAGAATGTTGAAGGCAGGCGAACAATTGGGAGGGGAAAAGGCACGAACCGTCGAGCGATCGCAAGTTGGAGTCTAAAATCTATCTATAGTACCAGGAAAGTGGTCGACAACAATCTATTTGGGTGGCGAAGCGACGGGAGGAGCTGGGTCTCCATCTTCGTCTGATTGAGAATGGGAAGAAATATATGAAGGAAAAAAAAAGACAACGGAATCAGAATCATAACTCAACTGGGGGGTTCGATCGTCGTTTGATCAAGTGGTAGTGAAGACTGGTTCTTCTTCTATCTAGCAGCAATCACAATGAGAGGGAAAGGAACTTGGCAGATCAATGAATATAGGGGTGGAGATATAGGGCAATGACGATCACCGGTGGTGCTATAAAACAGAGAGGGAGGCGATGGGGGACTAGAGTGGCAGACAAGAAGGTTATCGGTACTTCTCTTCTTTTATGGTGTAGTGAGAAGGAGAGAGGGAACATGAGTAGATCGTCGGCTACAACCGATAAGTACAGGTGGATGAGGAGGAGGCTGCTTCATCGAGTGGTAGCCAGAAAATGCCACCACTTCCTGTGGTTCTTGATAGGGGATAAAGAATCAAGCAGGAAATCAAGGAGGAAAGGTATACATAATATTCTAAGAAAATATATCTTCTGGAGTCAATTGGACTTCCAAGTGCAGTCATTAGCTCACGCTACAAAACACCATCCACTACTCAAATTTTTTGCAAACTTGTCTCCATTGGTCACAAAACTCCCTTTGAGAACACTAGTCACTTCAAGAAATTGAAACTTCTCGTCGCCTGGAACTTCCTTGTTCACTTCATCATCTGTTGCCTCCCTAGCGAAATTGGCTGAACCGATCATTTGAGCACTGCTTGGCTAAAATTCTATAGGAAATCATCACCTGCCGAATGGTAGACTAAGCCACAAGCATATAGAATGAATTTAAAGAATATATTAGCACAAAGAAGACAGAGATCCGTCACACTCGCTTTTGGATAGTTTTTCTAGAATCTTTGTACAACACTTCCAAGATCCCCATTAATGAATCAATAGATATGGTCGAAACTTGTCAAATGAAATGTATCTTTATACCAGTTCAAACTGACTTCGAGGCCTCCAAATGTCTACCTACTGATCTTGTGGATCTCATTCCTAGAGATTCAAAAGTTCTCGCCCAACATATCAAGGAACCAATGAACCAGAATCAGATCATCCTACCCCATCGTCAGTAAGAACTTTGCATAAAACCCCCAGTACTGAAGTCACACCATTGCAAAACAAACAAGCACTGAAGAAGAAGAAGAAGAATAAGAACAAGCACAAAGAATATACTATTAACTCTCTTGTTCCAAAAAGGCATATCCTATCGCACACCACAAAATCTCAACATTATGGGCCTGATAATAGATCCAACGTCGGAACTGAGGAATATCAAGCTATCCATTCGTCTCCCCCAAGGAGGAGATGTCTCAAAAGTAAAATGTGTTAAGTACACTTCCAGAGCCATTCCCTCTCAAAAGGTTACTGGAAAATTTTCATCCACTCATCCCTAAAAGGACATCATCTTAGGTAAATTTCTTTGATCCTATAAGAGGATATCTTGTTCATTTCTGCACACAACACTTCTGAAGTTGCTGCTTTGGATCCAACTTATGCTGCCAGAAATATGGATATATCCATAGGAAATCCTTTTAGGATTAACATAAAAACCATCCTGTAAGTGTGGCTCTAACAGATACTTTGGTCCTTATTATTGCTTGAACATAGTTCATTGTAACGACTGGTATGTGTTCATGTGTGTGTGGGTTACGATTTAATCATTGTGGCCTTTTAGGAATTACCTCACCTAATCGTTCCAAGGATGTTAAAACTCTTGATCAATCCAGTGGTTCAAACAAAACAAATAAATTTAAGATAAAATCAAAAGAGAATGGGAAGAAGGAGAGAAAGGATCTTTATGATATTATGAAGAACAAAAAGAAAGAGATGATGTAGAGCTGAAGGCTGCTGATGAAAAACGTCAAACTGAAGAAGAGTCTGCTAGAATTAAAGTTGACACAAAAGAGCTTTTTAGGAAACAACATGCAGAAGGTCACTTATCACATTAGCACACCTCTACAACCAAGAAGATATCTTCAAAAACTCTCTCTGGCACCAATCCGATCTCCAAATACAAACAATTTTGAAATGATTCTGATAAGTATGTCTCTGAATCAGTTGGAATCATGAACAACATCTTCATCAAGCCACGCCCTCCACTAAATACAACTGCTACCTCCCAGAAACCTCCTGTAGAACCAACCTCTTCATCATCATATTCCACCAATAGACCTTCGAAAGAGTTGAAGTCCTCTGCTAAATGTAGTCACTCCATAGATTTTAAGCTTCTTGAAGCAAAAATTGATCTCATCCTGGATCTATTAGCAAAACCACCTTCAGCTCCTACTCCTGATCTAATTGTAACTTCTTCAATCATTCTAAAGATCTTGAAAAGGATCTTCTAAAAGTTCTTTCAGAGTCCAATCAACAAGTAAATTCTTGCCTCCGAAAGCTAGAGGACTTTCAAACTTTAATTAATAACATTCTTGATAAACTCTATATAGAGATCTCCGACCATAACAAGGAAACTAAACAATCTATGGAGACTTTCTTTAAAACTTTGGGAAAATAACATAGATAAGAGGTTGAACAAATTTGACAAGATTTGATTCACTATCGCAAAAATTCTCTTGTCATTACTAGTGTCTGCTCCAAGCTATCAAATGATGTAAAGGAATTAACCAGATGGCCTCGGGAGGAATCTCAACAACTCAATCTCAACAACTCAATGAGTACGTTCAAAAGATTGACGTCTTTCTGTACATTGCCGAAAATCATATTGGAGTTGACTCTCTACCGAAAACTGTCACTTAATCATTTCTCAAAGTCTTCTGCTTCATGAGTTGAAGAAACAGTTCGTAAATGAGGCTGGGCTTCTTTCATGAAAGGGGGAGAAGAACAGCATTTCTTCTCTCCGAAGAAGGATGATGATGACAGGAATAAATTTCTGAAGGATGCGGCCAAGCAAGAACTATTTGATGATAATGGCAATGCATGCAATAAATTTCAAAATCCTCCACAATTAGCATCAAAGATTCCTATTCCTCCTCCAAAATCTCCTAAATCTCCACCTAAGGTTCTGACGCCTGGAGAGTCCCCTCTGGAAGAAAGTATTATTGTCCGAGATGTTGGAAAGGAAAAGGTTACTAAAGAAGAAGAAGTTCCTCCTACTAAGAAATTCTCCTTATTTGATGATGAAGATTAATATGATGATGATGAAGAAACCAAAGCACAACATAAATTGGATCAAATACATCAACACTGTCTTGTTGTGCTGCTTCTCTAATAACAACTTGACAAACAATATGTTGTTCCTCCTTCTCCTACAGAATAAATGGGTGTGGATCCTCCATTCAAACCATGGAAATCCTTCATCCGACCTCTTGAAGATAAGTATGTTACTCCTTATCAATACTACAATGTTCCTTTAAGTTCTGATTTTGAATGGGGTCTTCCGATCTAACCAAATGGATGCTTTAACCTAGTCTTTCCTTCGTTGACTAAATTCAAGCCCAAGAGTTAGCCTATGTATGAGGAAAAAAGAAGATTGGAAGCCTTTTATAAGAAGCATCGAAAAAGATCTATGGCATGTGATGGTCCAGAAAAGTGGCTCTTAAACTCAAAGGCTTCAAGTCTCGATCATTCCAAGGAGCTTAGTACTATTGTTATGAGCTACAAAGAACAAATAAAAATGAAAACTATATCACTAAAGTAGATTTCCCCATTTTTGATCTTGCTAATCTACTTTTCATAGCTAAGGAGTTGAACCGACGAATTCCCTCCAAAGAAACCACCAAAAATGCTCTCACTCTTGTTTGAACATATCTTTAGAGGATATTTCTTGAAATGGCTTCAATTGTTTTCAAGTTAAAGGCACTACTTCCTCTAGAATAATTTTTGTAAATGGACTCCTATCTTGAAGGAATTGAAGATAGAGAGTTTGGGATCATTGATAGTCCTAAACTTGGAATCATCTATTGGGTTGATGGATATGATAGGAAAAATCTCTTTCCAACTAGATTGTTGGATCTAATAGGAAATATTTATTTCATTTGAGCCAGAAACATCATTGCTCAAACTCTTTCCCCAAGAGCTTCATGAACTTTCCCTTTAAACTTATGAAGCTTCTGTTAAGATTAAAATGGAAGTTGTAAAGCGGATTCAATGGATGTTTGCAGTTAGAAGATTCTTCAAAAGGGTATTTGATTTTGTGAACAAGTCCTTAGACGCTAAAAGCAAAGTAGATACTGTTACTTAGGGGAGATTGTTGAACCCTGAAGTTCCCTTCGCTGAAGTTCAACATACTAGCTGGTCTCTGAAGTTGAGTGATCATAAATCTTGATGTGTTCCTAAGGAAGAATAATCAAAAGGTTGTTTTGTTATCCGAAGCTATTGACTTATGTTTTGTCTGTTTGTGTTAGGAGATAATGTTTGCTGGGTTGTAATGATTACTAGTTAATGACTAGATCACTTAGTCATATCAGTATCTTTGAGTTGTACTTTATTACATGTTATGCCATCCAGTTGTGTCTATAAAAGGGGAACTAGGTTATGGTTCTCCTTCCACCTTTCATGCTAATATTGCTGAACACATCTTAATATATTGAAGATTGTTCTTTCTACAACATGTTTATTTATTTATGCTTCTGGTGTTTCATTATCATATAATTTGTTAAGTTAATTCTTCCGCATCTACTTACAGTCATTTATCTTAAAGCGTTTTCCTGGTTTCATCAACATGGAAATTGAAGCAGCTTAAGAAACATAGCCTAATGTTGTAACAATTAACACTAGTTTCTATAAGGGATTTTTGAACATGAATAATGATTATTCATAAACACAAACTATTCGTATATATAGTAAGAATCATCTACAATATGAGAAATATGAGAATTCTCATTGATGAATTCTTCTTAATGGTTTTTGGAAAATCCATTAACTACCAAAATGCAAGATCCTATCTTAAATCTGACTAATGACTTAGATTCATGAACACTGAGATGTAATCCATGTATAATAATCAAGTATAGGTTTGATTAATCTTCCTCTCTATAACAAGGCTAGTAGGAGTAAGAATTCTTTTAGAAAGAAAGCATGCATGAAGATCTATACACATTTAGCAAGACTTGATGTTAAAGGATTTAACCATACTCATATCAATGACTGTCATCAAACATTTTCTCAAGTAGCTATTATTAGATCTACAAGGATATTATTTATCATAACTGCATATTCTGATGATGAGATATAATAAATAGATTTCATGAAAAATCGCTTTTATTAATAGAAAACTATTTGAAGATGTATATATAGCTTAGCCTAGATGTTTTCTTAATCCTAGTTATCCCAACAAAATGTGTAAGGCTTTAAATCCATTTATGGATACAAATCAAACATCTCAAGGTTAGAATCGTCATTTTAATATGAAAACACAAGGTATGTGTTTATATCAAAATGAAGATAACATCTGTGTTTACTAAGAACAAGTGTGATCAATATAATATTGTATGAGTGAGACACACTTAATCATGAGAAATTACATTCCGATTATGCAAGGCCCTCTTCCTATGACTCAAAAAGTGATCATAAGATGAAAGACATAAGAGAGACAAGATACATTCTTGGAATGTAAAATCTATGGAGATAGATAAAGCGGAATGTTAAAGTTTCAAAATGTTTATGCATATATTGACAATATCTTAAAGGAGATCAAGATATAAGATTACTTTGGAGGACTCTTGACATTTCCACATGTAATAAGTTTGAGTTAGGCTCAAAAGGACCTCGAACATAGATTTGAGCTAGATAAAATGATTTAAATTCTATTTTCTTGCCAAATGAATTCTTCATTTATGCCTTATTATGCACAACACAAGCTATATAGTTATGCTCTAAACATATCATAAGATACCAATTTGATACTTCTGTAAGTCATTGGATGATTTTGAAAACATTTTGAGAATAATTAAGAAGAACTAAGAGAATCTATATGAAATAATTAGTTTTAAAGAATATCTTTATGTAAAGAGATACATAAAATGTTGACTTCAAAACAGATCAATATAATTATGAATTATAATTGGATTGTGACTTCATTATAGAATGAAGAGTAAGTTTTTAATAGAATGATTTAGAAGCAAGACATGATAGAACGGTCTACTACGAAATAATAATACACCACTTTAGAAACTATAATCAAATATTGTTGGATAAATGAGTTTATTGAAAAAATTGGTTAATTTATTACATTCAAGGACAACCTAGAAATCTTTTGTGACTTTAAGAGTATATTTAATCAAGACAAAAGACTCTAAATCACATAAGAACACCAATAATATTCTCCAAAGTATTTAACTATGCTTAGAATAAATTTAAATATGAAGAAGATTATATTCGTAGAGTTTACACAAATTAAATTTAGTTAGACACATTATTAAAGTCTTTCCTTCAAGCTATGTATGAACGGTCGAACTTTAGTAGTAAGAGTTTGTTATTCTTGAAATGGGGTTTTGATTTGGAATTAGTGTTTGGATATTTAACATTAAAGCGACAACTATTATACTACTTTGATATATTGGGATATGATCATCATATCAATACTTGTTTTCTATATTAACATGTTTAATTTGTGAATAATCTGATTATTCTAAAAGTTCATAGTTGGCCAGAATTATGGGAGAAGTAATAAAGTAAGACTAATATGAATTGGATTGGTTGACTTTCACTAGATGAAAGTAGGCAAGTGGTTGTAACCAAGATTTATAGGAACTTTTCAGAGAACTGGTGTTGAAGGAACCCACATCAAAATAATGTCATGGATCGCTTTTGTGAGTGATTTTTGATAAAGAGGTACTATCTTTGTTCCTTAATACATGAGATACATAGTGAAACTTAAGTGTAGGTAGTCCTATGATTTGATATGGTGAAACGTTGATCCTTAACCAAGCAGCTATAAAATCCATTTTAGGTGTAGTGTGAACAATGAAAGAGGATTATGTTGTCAAGGTGGTATTTTTTCATCTTATGTGTTGAGAGTTAGACATCTATCGTATGGTACCCAAAGTTTAACATCAAATCAGAGTGATTGCGATCCAAGTCTCATGTTCAACAAGATTTTTGTAACAAAGGAATAACTAATAAACTTACCTTATACATCAATTTTAGCTTTGAGCTTTTAGGGACTGGATGTTGATCAATGATATTCTTTTTCATGTGTTATTAGGGTCAGTGAAATGTTGCTAGACGTTCACCACTTTCCAAGGTTCTAAATAACATTAGACGTGACTTGGCGGCAATGTCAAGCCTCAAGTTTTTTTCGTGCCTTGTCGATCCATGTCATTTGTAAGACGTGACTTATGGCGGTAATCTTGTATATAATTAATATTTTTTTTTATACATTTATTATTCTTGATATTATATATATATATATATATATATATATATATATATATATATATATATATATATATATCATGGTTGCAGAAATCGCTAATCGACCGCTAATCGGTGGACTAGCGATTAGGGATTAATCGGCTAGGCGGGGATTAATCGGGAGATTAATCGGGGACCATTAATTCTTAAGAAAATTATTAAACAAATTTATAAATCTAACTTTAATTCTCCAAAAAAGTGATTAATCGACGATTAGGTCCGATTAAGTCCAATTAGGTCTGATTTTGACCTGCATTGACCAAACCTGATTAGGTCTGATTAGGTCCGATTAATTCCGAATTTGACCTGCATTGACCAAGCCCGATTATAGTGACCGATTAGCAATAAATCTCATCGGTGGAGGTCCGATTAGCGATTAATCGGCGCCGATTTCTGCAACACTGATATATATATATATATATATATATATATATATATATATATATATATATATATATATATATATATATATATATATATATATGACTTAGACGATGTTTTGTTAAAGCTTAGCGGCAAGTACAAGCCTTGAAGTTATGGTGCGCCATGGCGCATCCATATTGACCTTTTTAGAACCTTGTCACTGTCTCTATCAATCTATTTGAGTCTTGTGCAACTAGGAGTTTGAAAGATCTTTATACCCAAGAGTTATTTTAGAATGATATTGCTAATGACATATGATATTATAGGGTCACAACTTATAGCAAGTTGAAACTAATTGATTATTTATTAGAGTAATTTTGATTATTAATAGATATCAACACATGTAATTAA